CAAAGCTCCACCTCCCATCAAAGTCAATCAGTGGCTCGAGGGAAGTTTCTTACTGTTGAGAGTATCACCGAAGAGGACGAGCGCGAGGATTACGACTTGGACAGTTCAGGTCCTTCCAAGGAGCCTGCGCTTCGCACTGCCATCAACGACGATGAGAGCGATACCGAACACGATCCCCAGGAACTTGAAGAGGATATCACCCCTGTTCTGGACCTCGATGACGAGGGTGAGTGGGATTCAGCGGATGCTGAAGATGAAGCATGTCCTCAGCTTGCTTTGGAGAAAGAGGTTGCACCTACACACCGACGCGAAGCAAACAATACTGATTTCATCTTGCGCAAGGTCAGAAAACTTGTCCTCCAACTTGATACACATGGATTTGGTACTGATGTTAACGTTTCTTCTTTTGTTCTCAGGTTGACTTCTTGACCCGTCGAATTACTCGCTCCGCGGCATGGCGGAAAGAGTTTGAACGAGTCAGCAAGGCAAAGGGCTTCACTGGCTCTCTTATTGCCGGTTATGGCATTCGCTGGAACATCAAATATGAAAGCCGACACAAGGCCTGGATGGCCAGGGAGGTAAGTTCTTTTATCTCATTTTCAAACTCTCCTGCAATGTTGAGCTGATGTTAATTACTTCGTCTGTAGGTAATAAATCAACTTTGCAAAGATGATCTCGACGTTGTTCACGCCAAGAACCGACCTCCTCGTAAAAACGGAAAACCTTATGGATACTTTCACGAGATGGAGATGTCATCTCATGAATGGGCTCAAGTGCATAAGGTCAACAACGAGCTGGAGGTAAAATTTCATTCTTCCTTCTTTCTTTCTTCAATCTTCAATTAATATTTCTTTATTAAACCAGCCGTTCCTCAAGATGACCCTCAAGATGGAGGGCGATGGCCCTACTGGGTGCATGGTCATCCCGCAGTACGTGGAGCTTCGAAATACACTCGACAAGAAAATCGACGCTTTGACAGCTACCGACGCAATGTATCCTATGCTTGCCAAGATGCGAGCAAAGACCGAAGAGTATCTCAACGAGGCCCTGTCGTGTCAGACTCTGGTCATGGCTACAGTCTTACACCCGTTCTTCCGGCTCAAATTTTTCAAGAAGTGGTTTGGTAGTGCCTCAAATGTTACCATCAACGCCGAAGCCGATCTTCGAATGCTCTACAGGGAATACGAGCAAACTGCCTCTCTCAAGACACAACCCCCAGTCCGTACTCAAAAGTCAGCCACGAGTCAGGGTTCTTCCCCAAAGGGTGCGATCTTTGACCTGGATAGCGAGGACGAGTCGGATACTGCTGATGTCTTAGACACCAATCTTGATGATTACCTACGCATGGGAAATAAGATGATTGCCTCGGATTATGACCTCACTGATCCACACTCAGCTCTGCAATGGTGGCGGGTAAGTAGGAAATTCATCATTATTTTATTAACCTGCCTCAGAAGCTTACCTCTGGCTTATTCTTAGGTCAACGAAAAGAAATATCGAATCATCGCTTTGATGGCACGGGATTATCTCGCTTCGACTTCGTCCTCATGTGCTGCTGAGCGTATTTTCTCTTGTGCGAAGGACATATGCACGTCTTGTAGAGGTAGTTTGCTACCTCGCACCATTGAAGTCTTAGTTTCAAGTCGGCTCTGGTTGAGGGAAGGTGTGGATTTGGGTGATCAATTCAAAGAATTGGTTGATGCTTTTCAGAAGCTTGGTATTAAGATGAATTAGGATTTTGGCTCAATTTTTTTGCACAACATTGGCGGCTGCTTATGATTTGTAGTTCATTCAATTATATCTTTTCTTATTTCTATTTCTTTCTAACACTAATAATAGTTTGTACCTCTTCTTCTTTTTTATCTTTCTCGACTAGTTTATCTTTCTTTTGGTCACTAGATCATGTTTTTGTCTGTTCCCTCTCTTTCTAACCCTAATACTAATTTGTCTCTAAAGGTTTATCTATGTCTTTTCTTTATAATGACATGATAGTCGATTTTAAGTGTGTAACGTTGCGGTAGCTTGTGTTGCGTTGCGCAGGGGTTGCTACGCTACGAGGAGTTCAAAATTCACTCTTTTTTTTTTAGCTACGCTCCCAGAAAACGCCAAGAGAGAATTTTAATTTGCGTTACGCACCGTTAAATCAGACTGCTGCGCTGCTTAACGTAGCTGACCCGGGGTTGCTGGTATCACTCAAGAATTCAATCTGTGATTAACCCCTTCAAAAAATTTCTGCGCTGAGCTCGCCTCAACGAAAATGCACAACTTGCCTCCAGCCCTGAAAAGTCGATCACGGAGACAGATTTCTCGCAAATACCGGTGTTGCCCATTTACTGCAAGCCCTTGCGCTCACGTTCCACAGCTTTGAAGGACTATGGTACCCATTGAGTGTGAATTCAAGGGTTGCATACCCTTAGCACTTCTTTTCTGCTATGGGCCACCGGCAAACTTTTGAACATCGTGATCACGCAGGAGCCCCCCACTTGTGCAGAGTTGTATATAGTGGGATTTCAAAGCCCTGGCAGCGCTAGAATCTCTTTATCGTAATCATGTCTCTGCGGAAATGGAGGAGTACCGCTCTGTACCTCTCAACTGAAAGAATTCGAAATTACGGCCCAAATAAGAGATGGAGACAAGCATTGAATCAAATTGGCTCTAAGAGTAGTGTGATAACTGCACACGGTACTTTGAATAGAAATTGAGCCCAATGAGGATTGGAGAAGTTGACTCCACCAAGCTGTACATCACCAGGTAAAATTGCCCGGTGAAAGGGAAATCAATAAAGCACAATTTGAAAGACCTAAGATCGATCGCTGAGTTGTTCGAGCATACTAGCGGTTGATGACTGTTGGTATTCCGATCATGGGCGTACCTGAATTCAGATGTCGTCGATAAGTGAGATGGATTGGATTGAAGTGGATAATTGGTGGAGGTATCTTCGGGCGCCGCGTTAGTCTTCCAAGTGAGAAATTTCGCTCCTCATGGCTTCAGCTGGTACGGCTTGTTTGGGACGTAAATCATTTTAAGTCAAGCCGCTATTTGCATCTTCGCACGCAAAGAGTCCTAGATCGGTACTACTTTAGTCCTTCGAGACATATTGAAGAGTTATATATTTCAAAGCCTCACGAGAATATAACCATGAACTTCGGCCTGAAGGCGTGTTGTTAGGTAGAGGGGCAGCCGATGGCTATCTATCAACTTTCATCTGGGCATCACCACCTCAAGGATATATAAGGCATCCAGGAATTGCGATTGATCGTGTTTCCACATCCAGCTTCAGTCATCAGCTTCACATCTACATCAGTCTCTAGCTATCATCTCTTACTCTTGGTATTTTATCTACCAAATCATTATCATCTGAATCATTATCTCGGTCTTATCACCCGATACTTTTCACTGCCAGAGTTTTGTTCCAGACTATACTTACTCTACTTACAAGATGTTCACGTAAGTCTCCGTCTGTCCTATCTCCCCCTAATCCAAACTAGCACCAACTTCCTCGTCTTCGCTTTTTCACCCTCAATAAACTAAAAATCCACCTATTTGCTACCGTTTCAGCATTAGGCATCTTTCGGCTGCAATCATCTTGCTCTTCGTCGTCACTGGGTTCTCCCAAGCCCGCCGTCATCACATTCGATCTGGAAGTTTTCCAGACGCTCCTTGTGTAGCAACGTTGAAGAAACCCAATGGGGGAGATGACAAACACCGTAAATGGTATTCACCATGGGAGGTTACCGACCACAACTGGAGAGAAGTTTGGCCAGCCGGATCCATGGGTATCAAAAATGCCACATTGTTCGAAGGAGATGGAACAGCTTGTCGTGTCGATTTTGAGGTCAATCTCTACAGTTGTACTTTTGATGGGTCGGCTTATGGGGTCAATTTCACTGGAATCGAACTGTGCGTACTTTACCACCTAGCTCTTCAATTTTGTGGGACGCTGAATTTCATTTTCCCTTCCTCTTTCAATTCATCTTTTAGTCATCATAGTCAACCATCACCTCTACCTGGAACTGCCGAGGCGAACAAGACGGGTCCCATCACTTGGAAAAATTGTCCCGAGGGCTTGAAAATCCATCTAGACTTTTAACAACATCAATTCCATTGTCTGAAAACTTTTTACATACCACTTTTCCTTTACAATTATTACAATCTTTCTCTTCATTCATTTATACAGTAGTTTTTCTTTGTGAAACATTCTTTTCATTTCTGTTCCTTTATACATACCACAAGCGTGGACAAGTTTGTGAATCTCAAACCAATCATTTTTGTCAATTATCACATTTTATCTTTTGAGTACAATTATTTTATGATCAGTCATACACAAAACATCCAATAGCCGTGATCTCAGAGTCTACAGCTTTTTCCAACCAAGTGAACACATCTTGAGCCTTGTTCAACAGAAAATGTGGGAGATAGCACTTGCCATCTTGATGAAATCCATAGCGATAAACTCCATTTTTTTCAAAAGACTTTGTAAGAGTTAGACTTTGCTGAATTGATGTGCTTGATGTAGCTCCATCAAGCAGACAATTAAAAGCGGACTAAATCACACCTTACACTGAGCCCGCTAGTTTTCACTTGGCGATATTTACAAAGCCACACTTCTTGATATCACGATCTACACATACCGGAGCCTCGCCAGTGAACTTCGCCATCTCCTGGATGCCACTTGCCTTGGGGTGCGGGTTCCGAGGTTGATGCAGCTTGGGTTGAGCTAGATTTCCTCTCAGCCAGACTAGGTTTCTAGGCGAAGGAGACTCCGCTGGCTCAGAGAGTCCAGCAAATGATGGACCCTTGCTAACTCAGTCTCCATTCCTCTTATTTCCCAGTGTCTAATTGTATGGCTTCTCACCTCTCTGTATTTTTCATTGAACCATTACTTTTGCTCAAAAGCTTTGATGGTATGAAATGACAGCTAGTTGAGTAATGTCCAGCAAAAGAGTACTCTTCCATAAATCAATGGCCAAATGATTGTATTTTCACATCAATTTGTGCTCTCAACAAAATGGCATCTCATCTGAAATAGTGATCCAGGTAAATGTTTTGTTAATGATACCTTTGATATTAGCCTTAGAGACAAGCATCAAGAAACTCTCTGAAGGGGGTAGAAGAAACAGTGAGAGAGTTGTGCTGCAGGAACAAGGCAGTACAGAAAAGTACAGCACCTTCTGGTGCACTACAGGTCCCTGGAATCACACCAGGCATCTGAGTCACCCTGCCATTTGTTTGGTAAATGTGTTTTGTAACCTGATATTCTGATGTTGCCAGGCCAAGGACCAGGATCCATTCCATTGTTGTTCAAGGGTACTAACTACATGCAAAAGGTGCACAATGTTGATCCCACATTAGACATCCTTGTGCCATCACACTTGTGGCAGAAGCTTTGAAATAAGCATTTTGTCTGTTTGGTTTCCTAATTGTGACCAACATTTTCTGGGGGCCTGATAGGATGCTATTGCAAGAAATAATTGTTCAATGTGTGCCAACACAGCCTCTAAGATTCTGTTACTGTGGTAGGACCTGATGAGGGAGAAAATCCTCTGCAACATGATGAAAGGGCAATTTTTGCAACTCAGTGAAACAGCAGGTTTGTAATTTCGTTAATCTCAGTTAAAGCTGATGGCACTGCCGTCTTCCCTGCCTCAGGAGAACGGCC